CTTCACGTCCTGAACAGATGAAGCGCTTAACCGAATTTTGCTAGGGACTTGTTGCTTCAAAGCTAAAGTCTGACCCAAATCTCGCAGCAATACTAGCTTGGGCGACGGACAGGCGTTCGCCTCGTCCCTTAGAGATGAACCTCCCTTTGCGCCCAGGAGATGACTGCAAGCGTCAGACAATGTAAAAAGGTTCCCTGTGCCATTCTGTGCAGTGTGGCCTCTGCACAAACTGCAGTACTGTCTGGCCGCGGCAATTTCTCAAGGCAGCGGGGCGTGTGTGGGACAGGCATGGCCCCCGCCACACCAGCCAAGTCCTCAACAGCTTGAGCTTGCTTGAGCTTGCTTGAGCTTGCTTGAGCTTGCTTGAGCTTGCTTGAGCTTGCTTGCATGATCTCGCGGTCTCGCGGCATGAGGTCCAGGAGCCGCCTTTGAATGTGCCGGCCTTGCTATCACTGCTGTTTGCTTTGGCCTTTCAGGGCCGGCATTGAAAGAGTGACAGGTTCGCGAGAAGGCCGGACGCATTGTGGTTGTCTTCAGCGTGCCGAATGTGAGAGCCAACTCGGTGCAGGCTCGCAGGGCTCGCATGTGGCAGCGGCATGGAATGTTATCGCTTGCAGAAACCAAGCTGTAGGTTGAAAGCAGAGGTCCCAGCGAAGACGAACCAGCAGGCCTCGCGATCGCCCTGCCGTGTTACACCAAGCCGAAGCTTCGGAACAGGATCTCTGCACGTCTTCTTTAGCTCCCTGTCCCCAAGTCGGAATTTCGAGAAGCACCTCGTGCGTGGCCCAGAGTGTTGGAGTGCCACCTAGTTGGTCCTGTTGTTTGCCTTCCTGTGAGATTCTGCCACACGGCATTGAAGAAAAGATCATCAAAGATGCCCGCGCCCCAGAAAATTTCGAGTCGCCAGCTGGGGATGCTGTATTATATGTGCAAAGTGGATTCCTATCGTTTGTGGAACGCTACTCTGCTTTGATCCGCAATATGACTTCATGCAGGTTCAGAGTAAGTCCCTGACGGTCCAGCTGGCATTGGCCTGAGTCGACCGCAGTGTCGGCTAGTACGTGCCGCTTCTGGGCAGGGAGGGTCTTTGCGCAGGTCAAGTTGGACTCGGCTATAGTTTTCGCCTCGGTTCCTGCATGAAGTCCACGGTGCGTAGCCAGAACAACAAGAACTCTCAGGAATGGGGCCAAGCCTGGCTAAAGCCAAAGAGTAAAGCAAAAAGGTGCCGTCTGCTGTTGTGCCATTTCGGAGCTGTAAATCCCTTGGTGCCAGGAGGACTTCATTGCCTGATGCGGAGAAGGACACCAAAGGATCGGGCCAAGGCCCAGCGTCTTCGCAGAAGGTCGCAGAGTCGAAGGCCTAGCCCGCAGAGCCCCGAGCCCTACTTCCGAGGAAGGCCTTCGTTAGTTCCAGGACTCGACACGACGAAGGCAATCCGCTGATCTTTGAAAGCTGTGTTTCTGTTTTCCCCCAAAGTCCCCCAAAACAGTTAGGCCAGGCCGTTCGTTCGGTTTTTGCCTGGCAGTGATGTGGTGCAAGAGACATGTACCCTTCACGCGTATTCACAAGCCCAACAGCCATCAACTGCTCGAAGGAAGCGTGTCCCTGTGTTCCTGCGCGTATGTTTTGTCTTGTTGTAGAGCTTGCACTGACGAGCAGCACTTTGCTTGGTGAGACCAAAACTTCATCCAGTCAGGATTGAGAAGCCAGACCCCACCGGAATCAGGTTTTGGGTAGGCTTCTGATTCTGCCTTTGGCCTTTTTCCCCCAATAGCCTAAGCTCTGGGGTCTTCAGCCGAAATACGGTTTGAGGAAGATTGGGGCAAGGGCTCCGGTAGGTTCCGGGGCAGTTTTTGGGGCGGCTTCAGGGCGGGTTCCGAGGCGGTTCCGGCGGCGGTTTCGGGTGTGCTCCGGTAGGTTCAGTTGTGAATGCAGGAACATGGCTGCCATGTCACTTGACTTGCCTGTAGGCTTGGGCTTGCTTTCTATATTATTCTTGTTAAAGAACGGGCCTCTTGGGTTCCTACATTTTTTCAACGCTTGGACAACGCGTTTAGGAGCTGCTTCAGCTTTGCTGGTGTTCCTGACACTAGCCGCTTGGCGCTAATCTCGAACGGAAATCGAGCTCCCGAAGCTTCCGACCAACTCCAAATGCATTTCCCGAGGCCAGCTAAACGCATTTGGCTTGCGTTTCAGCACATCTGACGCCCAAATGCCGTCCCTAAACCCAAAAATCTTACTGCAGATGCTGTATTTTGCCCCAAAATGCAGGTGTCAAGGCTTGGAAAATACATGCTGCTTCAGCTGGTGTTCCTGGCCCCATTCCTCGAACGTCGAGTTCCCCAAGCGACTAACACCAAAATGTCAGTAAGAATAGCACTGCTAGTGTGCCGTCAGGCCAGTCACTCTGAAACCCTGAGAGCCCTGACTCAAACGAATTTAGACTCAAGGCACTTGTAGACGTTCGTTTGAGTGAAGGGGCCAGCTAAACTCATTTGGCTTGCGTTTCAGCACGTCTGACGCCCAAATGTCGTCCTTAAGCCCGAAATTCCTACTGCAGATGCTGTGTTTTGGTCTCAAAGGCACCAACATGCATGTTTCGAGGCGTGGAAAACGCATTTAGCAGCTGCTTCAGCTGGTGTTCCTGGCCCCATACCCCGAACCGAAATCAAGCTCCCTAAGCTTCCGACCAACACCAAACGCATTTCCCCAGGTCCGCTAAATTCAAACCCGAAAAATCACTTTGGTCTCGGGGCTTGCTTCTTGGAGCCTTTTGGTCGGCAGATGGGGGTGCAATGATGCTCCTGACGCTAACCTCCTGGTGCTTCCGATGCAGCTAGTGCGAGCTTGCAAGCTTCAAAAAGTTTCCTCGCGTTTCTAGCCTTCTGTTTGTGTTAGCGCGGTAGGTAGCACATCAATGAAGAGACATCGTGTGCATCTCCTGAGGTCTCCGTTGAAGAGGAGCTCGAGGTCCCGGAATCTGTGCTGCAGGACGGCATACGGCAGCTCCACTCTTGCAGATCTGGCGGACTGTCTGCAGAGGCAGAGATAGAGGTGAAAACAGCCGCTGGAGCAAAGGATGATGATGAGGTCAAGCGGCAGGCAGAGGACAGGAAAACCAGCAAGGAGCAAGGCGAGCAAGGCGAGCAAGGCGAGCAAGGCGAGCAAGGCACGAGCAACGATGGTGACGAACTGCCGGAATCCGGAGCGAGTCCAGTGGCTCGCGGTGCGACGGCGACGGAGCAACTCGGATGATTGATGCCACCTTCATTGCCACAAGACGATGCCGCCATGCCTTGCAGCGTCCGAGGAGCGAGCTGAGGCCCCACAGCGGACCCAGCGAGGCGTGGAAGTGTCTTCTGTCTCCGCCTTGCTTGGCCTTGGTTGCTCTGATGACTGAGGCCGGAGGCAAAGCGCGGGCTCGCCGAGGCAAGAAGCCGAAGAAGGCCGGAGCCGAGCTCCGAGCTGAGCGAATTTGCTTCTCGCCGTGGCGAGGAGGTGAAGAAGGCGGTGGAGCAGGCTGCACATCAGGCTGCAGCCAGATGGAGTGAGAGCCACTGGACCGTTGCAGGCAACGGCCCCGACGGAGAGAAGAGAGGACCGAAGAGGGGGACCGAAAAAGAGCAGGGCAGGGGCTCAGCCTGCACTTGCTTCGACTGCGATTCGGCTGCTCTTCCGGCAGGAGCTTACAGCCGAAGCGAAAAGGAGATCCAAAGCGCCACGGCCACGACTCTTCGCCACGGTTTTCCAAAGCCCAAGTTTTCGCCAGGAGCGGTTCGCAGCAAACGAAGCCGGTCAAGGAGTTCAACGACAAGTTGGCAGACCTTGGGCTGTTCGGCCATACATTGGAATGGTTGAAGAAGCAGCAAACCGGGCTGCTGAAAGACTATCCGCTTCAACCTCCATCTGACCCAGAACTGCAACAACTTGTAAGTTCGCAGCTCAGTGGGCACTTGCCGCCGGTGAGCTGAGGACAAACGTTCGAACCTTGAGACAGAAAGCGTTCAGAAAGATCCGTGGCACTAGTCGTCTTCACACACTGACACTGCCTTGTAAACGCAGAGGCCCTTTTGTCAGAGTGTTGCCCTACCAGCAGTGCCAAGTTTGAGTTCGGACTGTTTTCCGCATCATCTATACGACCATATACGACCACCTTCCCGACTTTACAGCTTATGGGTATTTGCGACCTGCAGGATCATGAAGGCTGACGTCGCATGAATTGTCTTACCTATCTAATCAGTTTTGAATCTCTCGTCCAGTTTTTCTTGGATTTGTTTGTCGCGCTCTGCTTCTGCTGGTTACCGACATCGCGCTCCGTTCTGCCGTGCTGGATGATGCGTGGTCCAGGCAGTGCTGCTTGAGCGTCCACAGGTTTCAACAGTAGACTCCGGTCTCAGGCTCCGTTGATCGTCTGAGAAACGCGGAACGACCCAACCCCAGGCAGTGGCACGGCGTTGCTCAAAGATGACCTCAAGAAGGTGCAGCAGTGCAGCTTACAGGATGAGATGAGATCGGATATATGCAGCCTGGTTGCCTGAAGGCCACCGTGTTTTTGCGCCTTGCAGGGCGCAAGGGTTACTTGCCGGCGTACTTGCGCAGCCGGCCTGTTTGCAGTGAGTGACAACTTGTTCTGTGCTACTCTTGCGATCATGAGGCTTCTGGCGCGCAATGCTCAAGAGAGCAAGCAGGACGGGCCCCTCATCGAGAACTTGTGTGCCAGTTCCTCGGCAAGTAGTCGGGAAGGTCTAGCAGACCCTCGCTCTTCGTTTCCTTCGGCCATCAGATGATCGGCAGATACTGTGCAGGCTGTGCTGGGCACTCCCAATGCTAAGAAACAGTTGCCAGAGGGAGCCCTGCTTGTTGCTGTTGTCTTCCCACTGGGGCTTCCCACGTGCTTGCACTTGCCCATGGAGGACTTCTCAATGGCTGTGCGCAGGGGCCTCGCCAGCTTTGCGTGGCTCGTTTCTGGTTTGTCTCATCCGCCTGACGACTGCTCGAGGATGCAGTTGGCAGCTGTGCTGAGAGATCAGAAGAACAGGAAGGAGGTCTGCATGTTGTGGTCGGCGGGGCACACGACACCTGCAGCTGTTGAAGGTGGAAGCCCATTCGGAGCAGCTGGATGCCATTGCCAAAGACTGGTGATGCACCCACAGCGGACCAACAAAGGTGCCTCTACCCATCTCAGATGCAACTGAGGCCGATTGTCAACATCGTCAAGCTTCAGACATCGAGTTTTCGTCCTAGTTGCCGAGGGCTTTCAACTATCAACACCTTTGACACCACAAACTCGCAAGGTGATATGCCGTCAACCGGGTCAAGAACAAGAGCCACTGCCAAGGATTTAGTCCCAGAGAAGATGGGCTGCATGGGGATTCATGTGCGACGGACAGTCTCATGAGGCCCAGCAGAGCCAGCGCAGCCAAAGACAGGCCACGGACTGAGGCCAAACGACAGGCACTGCGACCATACTCCCCGATTCCCTGTTTCTTCCTCGGCAAACCCGTGCAATGCTCAAAAGGTTCTAAACATTCTAAAGTTTCGGGGATAGTTCCCTCACGCAGCCATAGATGTCAAGATCTTAAGTTTCTTGGATTCATTGAGCATTACTCCAAGCATTACAGAGTTTCGTGATTTTAAGGGTTGGAAGTTTCGGGGAAGTGTTGGAGCGTTTACAGTGTTTCGTGTCCTGAACCGCCAAACGCTGTAAGGCTCATACTTTCCAAAATTCCCAACCGTAAATTCAGGAAACACTGCAACGCCCAAAAGAATCAGCACTCTCTAAAATGTTGATAAAATTTGCTTCCTCGCCATGGCATGGTACTGGTACCGCCCGCCTTAGTGGGCGTAGGGTGGGTTGGGGTTTGGTATATCTAGCGTTGGCATTCTCGAGATTGCTAACCAGCGGGGAAGCGCTTTTTTGCGTCTTGAAATTTCGTTTGAGTACTACAATATTTGGTGCACCCCAGGCACCCATCAAACACCAATGCGGTGGTTCTTGGAGGAAAGGGGGAGCATATATGTAGATATGTATGTATGTATGTATGTATGTACAGATTTGTGACTATCTGTATATATGTATACGTGTTTGTATGTATGTAGGTAAGTATGTGCATGTTTGTAGCTATGTATGTATCTTTGTATATATCTATGTATGGGTGAGTATGCATGTATGTATGTATGTATGTACGTTTGTATGTTTGTATGTATGTATGTATGTACTTGCATATGTATATTTGTATAAATGTGCATGTATGTATGTATGTATGTATGTATGTGTATATATGCATATGTGTATGTATCTACATATATATGTATATGTGTATGTAGGTATATATATATATATATATATATATATATATGGAACCCCCCCCCCCCCGAGTTATCTACCAGTTTTGGTGTAAACACTGTGTATTCTGCCCCTGACCCCCCTCCCCTCTCACTCAGCTACCAGTTTAAAACACTACTCTGTATGTGCATATGTGTATACTCTGAACCCTAGTATGTGTGCAGAACTAAAACAATACAAGAGGTGCTAGAGTACGTGCCTGCGCCGCGTGTTTAGGGCAATGGGAGCAGTCCTAATGCATCGCAGTTACAGAAAACTTTCCCAGGGCATCTTGAATCTTCAATCTTGAGTCCGACGGCCCTATTGAGTATTGAGTTCAATAGGCCTGTTGAACTGAGTAGGGCTCACGGATTGATAGTCAGACAAGACCCTGCACTCTGAATTCAATCACGTGCTGAGACTTAAACCCCGCAGCCCGAATGAAGCCCGAATACGGTTTGGTTATAAACGTTCATTGCCTGGTCCATATCTATGCTGCAAACCCCCAGGCCCCCAAGCATCAATTCCTTCCAAAAGAAGGGTAAGGTTCCTCAAATATAGGATGCCTACGCCAGGTGTAAGGTACTAGAAATCAGTACCAGTGGAATGTACCAGTATTATGCAGGACATGCGTAATACATGGTAATATGCGAGAGAAGCCGATAAACCCTAGTGAAACTTCTACACCGTGCCCGGTGCCACGAGCTACACCATTCGCGCATAGACCCGTAGTGGGCAACTTTGTGTTTCATTGCGGCAGTATCTTTCTGGCTACAGGAAATGCAGGGTTTCTGCACTTAACGCACATATGCATGGTTATTTCTCGACCATGTACTATCATGTAGTAATAGCCGCAGCAACGGCAACATCAACCGCAGCAACGGCAACATCAAGACTGCAATAATACTGGATAGTTCACTACAACAGACCATTGCTGGCCCGATGCTCAGATGCATATACGCGCATACAGGCACATTCCGGATAGCGTTGTATGTACGCACGGAGTCTTAACATCTTACAAAGAAAGTATCTAGAACCAAATGCTGTCACAAATCTACCTGCGTTTGTAATGTTAGTATTGATGTGCTTGCCTAGTTTGCAAGAACGCATATCTGTGTATCTACATCGGAGATTTTGGGTGCGTGTCGCATGTAAGACCTGGTGATATGCAAAATCATGATGTAACAGGAAGAAGCTCGCATTTGGGAGGTTAGGACGGCGAAGATAAGACAAAAACACAAAAGACAAGGAGCTGCATATATGCATATATACCATGGACGGCTCATACTAATCTCGTGTGTCGCCGCCTCAATGTGGTTTGGGATTGGATTCCTTGTATTTTGACTCGGGGTGCATAGTCTGCTCTGCATATTTGGTGCCTACTACGGCGTGCCGCAATACTATATAGGCACTCTAGTGTTTACGAGTGTCAAAAGACCAGGGGCCTTGTATGAAGGCGTGTGTCACCATAAAAGAGGTGGGCCTGCCGTGAGGACCCTTTCGATTGCATTCTTGAAGCAATGAAGGCTACTGTCAATTTTGAGTCTTTGAGGGAGGGGGGGTAGCGTAACCCCCCCTCAAAGACCAAGGTTCTTTTATAATTCATATCCCTACATACAATAAGTCCTAGTCAATGGCCTCTGGGGATTTCGGGGTGCATGGTACTAATCCCAAGCCACTCCGCACCTGCGCGTCGACCAAGCATTCCCCTTTAATGGGTGAGATCTTCAGTCCAAGATGCATCGCAGCCCGGGCAATGGATATATATATATATATATATATGTATGTATGTATGTATGTATGTATGTGTGTATATACAGATATATACATATATATATATATATATATATATATGCTGTTCCCACCGATGCATACCTTGTTCTGGTTTTAGCTGTTCTTTCAGGCCATACAAAAATGTCCATATATCTGTGTATACATATATATATATACATATACATATATACATATATATATATGTATACATATATTTCTGTATATGTATATGTATATATATATATATATATATATATATACATATACACACATATATATATATATACATATACACATATATGTATATATATATATACACACACATACATACGTATGCATGTATACACATACACATATCATTATACTTTCTTGTGCGCTGTGCGTTGTGCCCCCCCCCCCCCCCACTGATACCTACACGGGCTTGGAGCCCTGTGCGGCACAGAAAGAGGGGGGAAGGGGAATGGGGAGGGGTACCAAACTCCGAAGCTCAAGCTGTTCCACGGGGGGGAGGAGCATGCACAACCCCTAAATCAAGCCGCTCCACAGGGGGCGGGGGGGGAGGATGTGGGCCTGCCGGGGCGCAACCATGCATACATACCATGCATACATACATACATACATACACATACATCTATGTAGATGCATACATGCACACATACAGACATACATACCTGTGCACGTACGTACGTGCATACATATATACACACACCCACACACCTGTACATCTATATCTATATCCATTTTCACGTCAGGAAGCTTGCACGCTGCATTCGCTGGAGCGCCGCCCAGGCCTTCGAGGAGATCAAGGCCATGGCAAGACCTCGGCAGGAGACGCGGCCGACGCGGCCGATGCCCAGCCAGGCAGCTCTTTCTGCAGGGGACTCCTCTCCTGTCAGATCTCGGAGCAGGTCGATGCGAGCCGAGGCACGTGCTTGCGAGGGCAGGCTTTTTCGATTGCAGATTCGGTGCCATGCCTGACAGGGGAGTGGTGTGAAGAGGCAGATGCCTGGAGGTTTTCAGCGCAGGCTGGTGATGTTCAGACATTCAAGTCCTTCAGGGTTGCGAAGTGCAGCTGAATTGCACAAGAAGGTGTCGGAGTTGACGAGCTTGTCTGGGAGTCAGCCTGCCGCTGAGTGACACTCCATTGTATGCAGGTCAGAGAAGATTTCATCACACTAAGGTTGGAAGTTAATCCATCGTACATCCGATTGATGGACTCCAACCAGCCACACCGACGTGTCTTGTGAGTTGTGGAGCAAGCAGGCAACCGAGCAGCAGGGTGCACCGTCCAGTCTTTTTCGGCTCAGAAGCTCGAAAGCCGAATCTGAAGGAGTGCGCGAGGTCGACCGTGTGCCATACCAGAGGCAGCTGGGGTGAGCATGCCCATGCGCAGGTGTATGTCTCGATCGAGGTCCCGGTCACGCGCAAGCGAGGCAACAGAGACCGGCTTGTGGGTTGAATGAAGCCTTTCCCAGCTGCAGGACTCTCACGACACATCGTCGGAGCCAGAGCCAGTGCCAGTCTGCCTGCATCTCGGCTGTGATATGCAAGCACTGCATTCACGGGTGCCTCCTGCATAGGCCTGGCAAGCCCCGATTCCGGATTTGAGGAGCCGAGTTTTGTGATCGACCTCCGTTTTGAGAATCCAGTCGGCTTGCCTTTTCATGCTTTTCTGTCCGTGGCCGTTCCCGCACCTTCTTCCGGAAGACAGCCATGCCGGTTGGGCAACGTGATGCAACAATTTCAGACGTTTTCACGAAAGCTAGTTCTGTGGAGCTTGTGGAGTCGTCGTTTAGCATTCACTTAGGTACCAGGACCTCATCTGGTCCGTTCGCGCCAGTTAAAGTGGTGGAAGGAGGGTCTCCCCCGCACCACCATGCAAATGATTGATTTAAAACCAAGGAGGGGGCCCCTTCCCCCCCCACAAGGTCCTGCAAGGTTTGTGCTTTGTGCTTACGTGGCGGAGCGTCTACGTAGTAGCTTTATGTGGGCCAGTGTCAAGGAGAGTAATGCTCTCATCTTGCAGTCTTCAGCTTCCTGGCACTACATACGTGCTAGCATGCACGCTGCCCTGTCGACTCTGCTTTCTGTTTTGGCGAGTGGGAATCATCGTTGCAGTCGTGTGGCCTAGCTTTCGTGGCCTCTTCTCAAGTACAGCTCGGATGTGCCCGGGTGTCAATCCGGTTACTTGGGCCTCACAGCTCAGTGCCAGGAGGCGCCAAGACATCTCGACACGAAGCCCGACCCTGCCGATGCAATCCTGCAGATATTCCTCGGGCTGTGAGCTCCCCAGCATCTGGTTCCATCACCTGGTCCCATTCATCAGTCTTTGCAAAGGTGCTGGTGTCCAGCTTCTGATCCGAATGCGACCGTGAGGCTATGTATGGCTATGTGTAATGGGGGAGAGGGCTCCTGGGCAGAAGCAGCTGGAAGGCTAGCCTCCTGCTTGCACAATTTCAAGTTCGAGGCTGACTTGCAAAGAATGATGTGTTTTGCACAACGACCCGGTTCCACTTGCGACACGCTGGTGGTCCTAGTGCAGGTGCTGGTCGTGCCCTCGGAACAGCCAGAGGCAATCCTGAAAGCCGACATGCTCCACAACACAATCTTCCGCCTCTTACCATGCAGGCGCTTGCAGCTGCGACCTTTTTCATTGAAATTGCTGCCAAGGAATCGGCAGAGGTGATTCGCATGGAAGGCTAAACTGATAATCACCAATGACAGGAGTTCAGCTGGGAACTCGAGCTCGCACAGCTCAGCGTCGCCTCAACTTTTCCTGCTGAAGGCCCCCCATCTCGCCCCCGACCTCTCAGCGGCAGCAGTTCAGCTGTCAATTGGCCCTCCCGAGGCGAGGATGAGAAGTGTTTGCAGGAGGCCTATCAAGCGCTGTACGGCACCGAGTTCGTTGAAATCAGTGAAATCAAGGCCGCCAGCTATCATTCCTATGTACATGTTCATGTTTCGTGTTTGCAGTGCTGAGGGCTTCGCTGCTTCTCTGCCATCTTAGTAGTGTGGTTCTGCTGCCTCCGCTACCTGTAGTCGACACCCACAGGCAGCCAATCGACCAATCCACCAGATAGTCTCTTGTTCCCTCTGTGCGCGATTGTTGGTCGAACCCCCGATGCATCTTGCTGATACGTACCCCAAGCATTCAAACGCCAGCCGCCAGACTTCTTGAGACCGATGGGATCCGTTTCTCTCCCCTCCCTTGGCTTGGCCGTTAACCTGTAAGCTACCTAGAAATTCTGGATTTCTATGTGCAACAGTATCATTACGCACCTATCATGTGCCGTATGATGCGCCCTGCGTCCATTCTTGTGCCAATCGCACAGCTCAGGTATGCAGATCGATGTGTCGTTGGAGAGCAAAGCTGTCTAATATTGCTGAGCAATCGGCAGGAGGCGCGTTTCTCCGCACACAGCCAAGCGCAAGGAGCAGAAGCCCTGAAGAGGTGTTGTCCTGGTTGTCAATCTTCGCAGCCTGGTTTCTTGGCCGCTGCCTGGGCAAAGACACATTCGCAGATTTCCATGCTTGTTTGAAACTACCGTTTGCAACAGGCGGCTGTGTTTGTCTGCAGGCAAAGAACCCCTCGACCTCAATGACGAGGTTTGAATATTCGATTCGATGCCGTGATGGATATGTGTGCTGTGCTGACATCTAGAGTCTAGAGTTGTCAACGTGCCCCTTGCGAGGAACAAGCTATCTGGCTTGCGATTGAGCTGAACGGACACAGCCTGAGCATTTCCCTTCAGCTTCCAGCCGTCCTTGCGACCGGCGAAGGTTTTGTGGTTGCTGGAGCATCTCCAGGTCTCAAGCTTCGCCGGTGGCCTACATCCAGCATCAGTCGCGTGCCGCGCTCCTCTCTCCTTTCGAGGCTCGAAGACGACGAGTGCGGCTTCGATTTCAGAACCTGGAAAGCTTTCTGCTGCGAGCAAAACCGTCGGGCGTATGCCAGTGATGTGTGAAGTCCGACTTCTGAAACATCGACGGGCCATGGGCTAAATGACAGGAGATTGCTGGTGGAGACTTCGTTGCCAGAAACCTTGGACGGGGAGAAGATGCAGGTCAGCCAGTCACCGTTTTTCGCCGTTACGTCGAGCATCGAATACAAAAGGGCAGCCCAAACCGCAGGCATCTTGGTCCCGCAAGCAGCAATGTCTGAAGGCCTGTTCGCAAGAGAAGTTGCGCATGGGGGAAGATGGCAGTTTTTGGTCCGGAAGCGCCTGACGAAGCAACCATGACCATAACTTGTCGACAGCTGTGCTTGTGGTTCAGGAGAACAGCTCTTGTTGCGATGTGCACAGGTTGTTGGCCCGAAGAAGCCGAGTCAGGCAGTGAATCTGCATTTGCAGTGCTTCGGCTTCCTGTCTACACCAAACGTGGATGTAGAGCTGATGGTACAGAAGCTCTTACAAGCCTGAGATTGCCGACAGGAGGGACCCACGAAACTGCTGGAGTCGATGCTTCTTGATGCGCTGCTTGGCCAGAAGGACCGCTAAATATGGGCGTCTCGCTGTGCCCTTCGAGGCTCGATTGACGGCACCTGACCAAAGCTTGCGCCTATGCGCCTCACCAAGCAGGCGCCATTCAGCCGGTGGCATGTCGCGATGCAGCGTAGCACTTGCCTTTCAGTTCACTTGCAAGTACTTGTAAGCGCCGTAATTGGCTCTGTTCTCTTTGGTTTACCAGCTCTTCAGCCAGTTGCTGCCAAAGATGGGCTGGTCGCGAGTACGTAGGACCTAGGACATGTAGCCAGAGCCAAAGCGCATCCAGCAATTCCGCTTGCGAAAGAACATGGGCTTTGAGTTGTACTCCAGCCGACTCCAGCACAGTTGACCTTCCAGGGCCAAATGCGAGCTTTGAGGCTCAAGCATGCCTTTCCGAGATGTAGGCCTTCGGCAACGCGGGCCTAGGGGCTGGAAGGACCTCGGGCTTTCGTCATTCGTGATGTGTTGCAAGCTGGGAACAAGATTTAGCACTGTGCATGCCTGTGCATGCCGAGCGAACAGGCCCAATGGCCGCGCTACCTCAGTTGCGTGGCAGCTGCCATCACGGCATGCGTATTAGCTGGTCTTTCCGTTCCTTGATCGAACTCGGACAGGGGCATGTGACAGCTCGAAGCTTGTGAGCATCTGAGCCTGAGGTAAGGCGGAGTGAGCCGGAGTGGAGCTTCAGGCGATTGCAGGTACAGGCGGGACAGGACTGGTGTCCTGTGAAGCTTCGCTTTCGCCTTGCGTCCCAGCGAGGAGGATGACAAGGAGGAGCGCTGTAAGCCAGCACGCAAGCCTGAGGAGACTCGGCTTGCACGTTTTACCACTGTTGCCATTAAGATTTTTAGCACTTTTGGCCCTGCAGATCTACGGCGCTCTCTTCAGTTTACCTCCGGCCAGATCCAAAGCTCACAGGGATGAGAAAGTGTAGAACTCCCGGCGCGTGGCCCAGGTAGAAATCAACTTCTGTGGTGAAATCACCATGACCGAGCTCGTGGGCACCAACTCAAAGGTTGACTCTTGTTCTTACTGCGGCGTGGCAAGATCTTCGAATTCTTCGTCTTCGGTCAGGTCAGCAGCATCTCGTTCTTGGCTCTAACGCAGGCTGCCGAGGCTCGTGTTGATGCGGACATGATGCGATGAGCCAATATACCCCTGCGAAGGTTGTTACGCTAGTGGAAGCTGGTGGCCCCATCTACCAGCTCAATGCAACCAAGCTTGTTGTTGTCTAAATTTGGTTATCAGCATAACCTAAGCTTCAATATAGGTTGGGCTTCAAAATGGCTGAGTCGAAGAAGTACTAGAGCGCGAGCAGTGTGGGAAGCAGATTTGGACTGGATGGCAACGTCCTTCGTGGCTCAGGTACTGTCCGATACAAGCCCTCGCGCAAAGTGGGACATAAACCGCCCTCCAGACACAGCCTCAAGACATCTCAAGACTCAGACGCAGGCATAGTTGATGTGGCGAGCCTTCAATTCTGCCTCAAATCTTGCGAGGTTAGGACCTTCGGAGGCAATTCTTGTTTGGACTTCACCCAATTCTGTGCACAACTCAGACCCTGCTGTTTAATTTGCTCCTTTACACCTTGGATGCCGAACACATGTTCAGGTGAAGTGGCATCCATAACACCGCTTCTAACTGGGTTTGTTGTGGTGGCAGCCCCAGCTTCAGGTGGCCTGCCATGAGACATGCGGATACAACTCAAGGTAGACAGGCATCGTTTGCAAGAGTCGGGGCCTGAAAAATATTGACGATACCTCGCCACATGGGACTTGGAGGCTCAGAGGAGCGTCCAAGATTGCGTGCGCCTGTGTTCAGGTTCAACGTGTCCTGGGGCGAGTCTGGGTCTCAAGAGGTGGCCGTCAGCACCTTGGGGAAGATGAACATGGTGCGATTCCTAGTTCCTTTCATCGCTGTGTTTTCCACATCAGATGCATGTCTCCTTTCAGGAAGCAGTAGAGGGACTTGCCCTCAGAACCGGCTCGCGTCGTTTCCCGATGCTCCTGGCATATCTGATGGCCGTAGATGCAAGGTGACACTGAGCTCAGATTCCCAACTTTTCTGGCTGTGTGCGCTCTGGTAACCGTTGAGGACCTGAGGAGCATGTGCATGGGCCCTTGTGCATGCAGGTACGAGCCGTACAATTCAACGCACATCGGCCCGGACTTCCCCATCACTCCCTTGTTCCCTCACGCTCGGAGTCGTTACTTTTTCGTATCTGATACAGGCTGGGATGCAGCCTTCTTCCTTGGTCGACGTGGCATGTCAGCTCTTGGCATGTGAAGTTTCAGGAAATCACCGCGTGATTTTTCTGGATGCCACAAGCCATTCGACCTTAAAGTACGTCGAGTCGTTTGGAGTGATGGGTGAGGTGCGCTGCATCCGTGAATAGAAGTGATCGTGTGGACCACAGCCGGAAGGCCCGCAGTGATCGGACCGGCTTCAACTTTCCCGCCGGTATCGCTGTCATGGCACCGACAGGCGGACTGCACAAAGCTAGCAGCATCCAAAATGCCCTGCAAAATCGCGGTCAATGTCATCCTGTGGCCAAGACGAGAGCTTCTTCGGACCCACGATTGCAGCCGTTTTCGCCTTGAGCCTGGATAAAGCCGTGTTGATCAATGGGTCCAATAGGAGGAAAACGACCTGACTCTGTTCTTCATCGCCATGTGGAGGTGGCGGACCGTCGCAACAACCGCATCGTAAAGCTGCGGCTGGCCTACAGGAGACCTCTGCCCTCCTTTCCTGGAAGTCCAACGCTGCTGGGCCTCCGCAGGACGGCTCCGAGCCATTCCAGCTACAAGGGAGAGATGCACGGGCCTTAGTTTTGCTATCTTGCCCTTTGCATCTTGATGTCCTTGCGGAGGCCCAGTCTTATCTGGGGCGGGGAGTATTTCCGAGACGTTACGGGCGTTTGCGGCCTCAGACCACCATCAAACTGGTTCGGATCAGTTCCTCCTGACCACTTCCTGCTTCAGATGAACTTCAACGAGAGTCTTCTGGATCCTGTTGGTGCCACCCTCAAAGGGAGAAACGAAGGGAGAGGGAAGTGCGAGGAAGGGAGAGAGAGAGACAGAGAGACAGGGAGAGTGAACGCTACCGCGCAGGGTTCGGGGGTTCTTGGCCCCCAACCCAAACGCTGCGCAAGCAAGCAAGCAAGCAAGAGAGAATGAAGAGTGGCGACTTGCAAGTCCTCTTCGATGCGTGCAAATGATTCGTCGTTGGTTTCTTTCTGAGGCATCTCAATCTACAGGCATTTCATCTTCGTGTGCGAGGTGTCGCATGTTTGTGAATCTTTGTCACTCTTGCCATAACACAGAACCATCCAGAGCAACGTCTTGTCAGAGGCCGAGGGGAATGCGATCACGATCTTAACAACAAACTACGTGGCGCACGAGGAGCTCATCTATGATGCACACTTAGATGAGTACAGAGAGGGTACTTGGGGAGAGTCTGATGCCAGACTCAAGCCTGCCAAGGTCACGGAGCTCTATCCACCTCCTTCCATCCAACTCACCGGCAGCTTCTCCACAACGCCCGGCACTGATGTTGTCGTGAGTTTCCGGGAAGAACCGAGAATTTTAACGTCCCTGCGTGAAGCCGAGGGAGCAGGGCTACCTTTGGTTTGCGTGCCCCTAGTGCTTGTGGAGTTCCCGTCAAGACAGAGCAGCTCGAGTTTCAGTTTGATATGCAGAAGAGGTATGTTCAGCGACCCTCGACTAACGGTCTCGGCAGCATCTATCTGCCGGAGCCACCTGCCTAAGTTTCCAGATCATGTTTCGCAGGTTGCAGTTGCAGTCTCCTCGCTTTCCTGCCGTACCGTCGTGTGCTCAAGGCCGATCGTGGAGTCGCCTCCAGCCTCCTGGATTGAGGCCTCAATCCGCTTCAATCCCGTGCTTGCAAAGATCCAAACTGCTCGGCAAGCTTGTGTAAACAGCAGGAGTTCCGTACGCAATGCACCAATGCCACTATCTACAACACTGTGATTATGGCAAACTCCACGCGACTAGCTCGGGCTCGGGGCGTCATTGCCTGCATGCAGCCTCAGCCCCGAGTCTCAGCAGAGGCTTTACGACGAGCACGTGCTCTATGTTCTGAATGCAGCGCGCATCAACTGGCGGTTTCCGTACCGGCTTACAGCTCAGTTTGTCTGAGGTTCTGGTGTACGCTGGTACACTGACTGTCAACTTGGCCACATTGTTTTAGGCCCAACTATCTGAGCAAGGATTCCTTCAACCTCAGTGTGATGCGAGGGCCTCGCAGTGAAAGCCATTGCGGTCTTAGTGGGTGGGCTACACTTGGAATATACGATTTGTTTGTTCACTCCCGTGGCTGGTCCTGTGGATTGCTGGTGTCGCGGTTCTTAGGTCAGCTTTCTGGTTTTGTGTTTCTTCGGGTTTCTGGTTTTGATCAGAAATCGTTGTTTCATCTGTCGATCATGCAACAGCTTTGACCTTGAGAGAGCATAACGTTCGTCCTGCACACCAACACATCAAACGACAGAAAGCGCTGCTGCCGTGATAGATGCTAGATAGCAGAAAATCATAAGCCCATTGAATAACCCCAACAGCGGAATGGCTGTCGTCGGGCTCACATGAACGGGTGCCAGACAAGCTCAAAGAGCTGTAGATGCAGGCATTGAACAAAAGATTCTGATTCGCTTAAGGTAAGCGCGTGCAGTAGGATATTCGGGTTTAGGGAGCGCATGGAAGTCCAGATCTGCTGCAACGCAGGCCAAATGCAGTTAGCAGGCCTCGGGAAATGCATTTGGGCTCGCTCTGAAGCTTCGGGAGCTGAATTCCAGCCCGGGAGTGGGACAAAGAGGGGCATTACCAAGGCTGAGAAAGCTGTAAAATGCGCTTTTGAGGCTTGAAAAATACGTTTGGGGCTGTTGCAGACCTAAGCAAAGCGCGTGCAGCAGGATTTTCGGGTCTAGGGACGCCATTCAGGTCCAGATCTGCTGCGATGCAGGCCAAATGCGTTTACCAGCCTCGGGAAATGCATTTGGGCTCGGCAGGAGGGGCATTGGCAAGGCTAAGAAAGCTGTAGACTGCGCTTTCGAAGGCTTGAAAAATGCGTTTGGGGCTGTTGGAGACCAAAGCAGAGTGTGTGCGGCAGGATTTTCGGGTTTAGCGACGGCATGGATGTTGAGCACTGCTGCAACGCAGGCCAAATGCGTTTACCAGGTCTCGGGAAATGCATTTGGGCTCGGTCTGAAGCTTCGGGAGCTGAATTCCAGCCCGGGAGTGGGAGCAGGAGGGGCATTAGCAAGGCTGACACAGCTGCAAAATGCGGTTTTCAATTCTCGGACAATGTATTGGGGCTCTTGGAGACCGAAGCAAAGTGTGTGCAGCAGGATTTTCGGGTTTAGCGACGGCATTGAGGTTGAAAACTGCTGCAACGCAGGCCAAATGCGTCACCAGGCTTCGGGAAATGCATTCGGGCTCGATTTGAAGCTTCCGGAAGTGAATTACAGCCCGGGACTGGGGCCAGGAGGGGCATTAGCACGGCTGATAAAGTTGTAAAATGTGGCTTCCAAGGCTTGGACAATGCATTTGGGGCTGTTGGAAACCAAAGTAAAGCGTGCGCAATAGGATTTTCAATTTCAGGGACGGTATTCAAGTCCAGATCTGCTGCAACGCAGGCCAAATGCGTTTACCGGGCATCGGTAAATGCATTTGGGCTCGCGGAGCTGAATTACAGCCCGGGACTGGGACCAGGAGGTGCATTAGCAAGGCTAAGAAAGCTGTATAATGCGCAGTTGAAGGCTTGAAAAATGCGCTTGGTGCTGTTGGAGACCAAAGCAGAGCGTGTGCAGCATCATTTTCGGGTTTAGCGACGGCATGGATGTTGAGGGCTAAATGCGACGCAGGTCAAATGCGTTTACCAGGCCTCGGGAAATGCAGTTGGGCTCGGTCTGAAGCTTCGGAGCTGAATTACAGCCCGGGAGTGGGATCACGAGGGGCATTAGCAAGGCTGAGAAAGCTGTAAAATGCGATTTTCAATTCTCGGACAACGTATTTGGGCTGTTGGAGACGAAAGTAAAGCGTGTGCAGCAGGATTTTCGGTTGTAGGGATGGCATTCAAGTTTAGATCTGCTGCAACGGAGGCCAAATCCGTTTACCAGGCCTCGGAACATGCATTTGGGCTCAGTTTGAAGCTTCCGGAAGTGAATTACATCCCGGGACTGGGGCCAGGAGGGGCAGTAACAAGGCTGATAAAGTTGTAAAATGCGGTTTTCAAGGCTTGGACACTCGGGAAATGCATGTGGGCTCGGTTTGAAGCTTCTGGAGCTGAATTACAGCCCGGGACTGGGACCAGGAGGGGCATTAGCAACGCTGAGAAAAGTGTAAAATGCGGTTTTCAAGGCCTGGACAATGCATTTGGGGCCGTTGGATACCAAAGTAAAGCGTGTGCAGCAGGATTTTCGGGTTTAGCGACGGCATGGAAGTTGAGCACTGCTGCAACGCAGGCCAAATGCGTGTACCAGGCCTCGGGAAATGCATTTGGGCTCGGTTTGAAGGTTCCGGTTCCGGAGCTGAATTACAACCCGGCACTGCGACCAGCAGGGCCTTAGCAAGTTTGAGAAGCTGGAAAAGGCGCTTTGAAAGGGTTGAGAAATGCGTTTGGGGGTGTTGGCGACCCAAGCAAAGCGCGTGCAGCAGGATTTTCACAAGTCCAGATCTGCTGCGATGCAGGCCAACTGCGTTTACCAGGCATCGGGAAATGCATTTGGGCTCGGTGCGACGGAACTCACACACAGCTCCAAGCCTCGTAGTGGTAGTGTGCATTTGGAGCCAGGCTTGAGCCGCAGCCCCGGAACGGACTCACAGACCACCCAGACCCTCATGCCCTCATGCTTGAGCAGCAGAGCCACAACCTCGGAACCTCCCCGAACCTGCCGCAAGCTCTACCGGAACTTGCCCCACAACATCACCGGAACCTGCTTCGGAACCTGCCCGGAACCTGCCCCGGAACCGCTCCGGAACCTGCCCCGACCTTCCCCCGCAACATCACCGGAACTTGCTTCGGAACCTCGCCGGAACCTGCCAGAACCTCCCCAAAACCTGCTGGAACCTGCCCCGGAACTTGCCGCGCAACATCACCGCATCGGAACCTGCCCCGAACCTCACCGGCCTTGCCGGAACTTGCCCCAGAACTTGCCCCACCAAAACTTGCTTCGGAACCTCGCCGGAAGCTGCCCGGAACCTTCCCGGGGCCTGCCCCGGAACCTCGCCGGAACCTGCCCGGAACCTTCCCGGAACCTGCCGGAACTTGCCCCGGAACTGGCCCCGCAACAACCTGCCGGAACCTGCCCCGGAACTTGCCCCGCAACATCACCGGAACCTGCTTCGGAACCTCCCCGACTCCTGCCCGGGACCTTCCCCGAAACCTGCCGGAACCTGCTGGAACCTGCCCCGCAACTTGCCCCGCAACATCGCCGGAACCCCCGGAACCTCCCGGAACCTGCCGGAACCTGCCCGGAACTTGGTCCAGGCCTCCCCCCAATCTGCCCCAATGCTTACTTCGGCTAAAGACCCCAGAGCTTACGCTGTTGGGGAAAAAGTGTATATTGTATCTATACATATATATATATATATGAAAGATAATGGATGGTACTCGATACGGAGACGCGATATGAAGTACAAGGTACATGACGTGTGATCGATGATAGATGACAGGTGGCGGGGGCAAAGAGAAGTTCTGTGGTATATGATATATGTGATAAACGATACACGATATCGCAATGGCATAAGATAGAGGCTCTACAACAGAAAGGATAGAGGATTTGGATATAGGATATCGGGTACAGGATGTAGTATGTACAATGTAAGATATTGGATATAAAACAGTGAAGATATGAGAAGCAAGGTGTATGATCTAGACCAAGCGGTATTGTAAATGGCATGTGGTTGAGTATGGTCTGTGCTGTGTAATATGTGATCTGTTACGTATGGTGCATGATGTGTATTGTAGACGATGTTTAGATGGCATAAGTTATATGACAAGTGAGATATGCCATGTAGATTATGACATGGGCCCTTCGCTATCTGACAGGTGTATGATCTATGGCATGTGGCCTATCACGTATGAGATGTGGTATGTATTGTACGAAGTATGGATTGGAATATCTGCCACATGGTGTCAGTGCAGACACTTATGCATGTACCTGTGTGCATACATTCAGTCACTCGCTCATACATACATACATACAAACATACATACATCTTCTTCCGGACGCAGCGAAAGGATCCGCCTAGCGAGTCTGTAGCACAACCACAGGTGGGTTGCGGAACCTCAAGGGAGCTAGAACTACCGCACCACATCAGGCCATAATGGCCGTCAATGTCGACTCCATCTCATCAGCAGTCTGGTATCGCTGTATTCGCAGCTGGACCTGAGTCACCAGTGGAAGAGCGAGTGGCCCAGATAAGATAAGCATTGCATTCCATGGCAATGGGATCGGTATCTGTGCACTCCTGCGCTGCAATGCCGTCTTCAGTAATCCACTTGCATCTTTTTCCATTCCAGATACTGCGATAATGCCCCGAGTCAGCTTGGATGCCATAGTGCACCACCGTCGCTGAAACCTCAAATACACTGTAGTGCACTGCATGTGAAGCATCATCCACAAAAAGTGGGATATTGAGGTCTGCCATTAGCCCATTCACACGCATTGAGTCCTTGACGACGTGTTTTCGTCGCCCCCGCCCCACTACATTGAACCTCATAAGCTGGAAGAGCACAATCTGTGTGTTCGCACTGAATGCATGCACAATTCCAGAGTCATCCTGAGCATGCCACTGATCAATGAAGTTCTGCAAGTTTGCAGTCCCTGTCATGGGGAGGAGCACAGGTGTATGAGCAGGTGCAGAGTCAACAGTTTGACTCAATGCACCAACAACCTGCCTAGCTTGCCACACTCCAGAAAAGCGATACGAGTGGATCCTGGGCGCAATGTGCTGAGCAAACTCGGCGGCGTCGTGCTGGCAGTAGGGCAATTGCAAAGGACTGATAAACATGATCCACGCAAGGGGTCGACTAATGTCAAGCGGCTCAGACCTGGCGCACATGGTCAGATAGACCTGTCGAAGCTGTCCAATGTCAGCCTCATCAGTGGAGCCGATTTTGTGCAGAGTAAACAGCAACGCCAGCAGGACACTGTTCATATTACAGGTTTTACTGGTAGGATTAGCCAGACGGACAGTGAGAAGATCAAGCGAATACAGCTGGGCAGTATGAGGCACTAACCTTCCCACAGATAGTGCTGCAGGGCTTGCGCAAGGTTGGACGTCACCGGACGGTCCCGGCGGAGACGGGCTCCGATCAAGTGTAGAACTGCACAGTTGATCAGGGAGTTGAATAGCTTCCGCAGCACATCGCCATCCTGTCGAAGCTCGATCTCCAACACAAACTGCACCCATTGGGTCTTGTACGAATTGCTCATCGGTCGGAGGCGCGGAAGGTGGTTCCACTGATCAGCATCTCGATGTCGGCGATCAGCTGTTCAAACGTGATCCGCCGTGGCCATTCTGGCGTATCTAGTTCAGGTTAGATCCATGTGATGCCAAGTCCTTCCCGCCAGCTCAGCCCTGAGCTGGTCGCCAAGATGATCCTACGGACGGAGCTAGGAACTGGGGCACTTACGTGCCGGACGACAGGTGTTCACGGAAAGGAGTAAACTATCGCCCTCGACGTCACTATGGACGGATCGTGCAGTGGCTCCACACAACCCTTTCTTGGTTCGGAAGCGGATGTTTGTGGAGCAGTTCATGGTGGATGGCAATTTCAACGGGGTTAACGCGTAGCTCTTGGTGCTGGACAATCGGGACGAAGGCTGATGAGCCCGTTTGTCGACGAGATCATGTCGAATGCAGCCGGCTCGACCACCGTCCTGACCGAGTGGGACCGGGTCATGCCTCCCAGCTCGACTTACCGCTGCTCCTTGTTCGCCAACTATACCCTGGATGGCGTCCAGACAGTTCTGGCCTTAATGTCGTCCGTCTCTGAGGCCAGCTCGGCATTGCCCCACCCGGGCTTTCAGCCGTTCACATGGCCGATGATGAGAGTCTTCAAGATGTTCTTTCATTGGTTTTCAGAGGGTGCCGAGGGTTCAGCAGCAGTTCTGTGATGAGGTGCTGCTCCGATCGGCAAAAAAGGATGGTTCCGGCTGCGCATCGTGATCGCCCTGCTTAGTGGCTGGAACGCTTTGGCCGTCTCGTTCGATGTCGGGGTTCGGCCTCGCGGATTCGGATCGCATCGAGTTCAGGTACTGTGCAACTGCAGCAGTCCGCTCAGCTGGCGGCGTGCTCGGGCGAAACTCCTCCGGGCGCACAATAACCGGCGCTTGCGCAGCAGAAAGCAATCGAACCGAGCGTTGATCCCTGCACTTGCGACGGGCCTGAGTGAAGATCTCCACCGATCAGCTGTCCAGCTCCTGTTCGCTTTGGTGAGAGGGACTGCCCCTTCGAGCTTCTCTGCGTGGCCATGGATCTGGCAGACCTAGGGTGCAGACCCATGTCAAGATCGCGGGCATGCTTTTCATCAAGCCGAAAAACTCAGATCAGGCGGTGAGGCGGTCCCACAGAAGCGATGGCCGATGGATGTGGCCAGCCTGCTCCGACCTGGATTTCGAGGGGGCGGCGGCTTCAGGAAATTGGAGACTGAAAGTCCGTTTCCAGCACTGCGATCCTAGCACTTGCGATTCAAGCACGAGCGAAATTGAAGGTGGTGGTGGCGGCGGCGGTGGTGGTGGTGGTGGTGGTGGTTAGGCTTCCTGGTTTCGGTGTGTGAGGTCTCGCGATCGGGCTTGTGGGGTAAGGCTTTACGGGTTGATGCATTGACAGGAAATGAAAGGACAGTCTTATAGGTCTTCCGGATTGCAAGGCTTCAGGACTTTACAATTTAGGGAGCTTCGAATTCAGGGCTTGAGGGTTGCAGGTTTGGGAGTTTCGTGTGTCGGGTTGAGGCTGTAGGCATTTACGGTGTGGCGTATCACCAGGCAAGAATCCAGTCTTCAGAGTTTTAGTTAGGGTTTGAGTAAGGTTCAGGGATTTCGGGTTTGGGATATCCACAAGCGAGGGGACCCGAGTCTTTTGTGTTTATTGCTTACGGCGATAAGTTATCCAAGTTCCCAGTTTCGACTTTTCAGGCCGTAGGGGTTGACATACATGCCTGCATACAGACATGCAGCATTCGGGGCATGCGCTGATAGTGTCGGCGTGCGGCTTGCGGTGTGAAGACTGCATCGTTGCCAACGAAGACAATGCCTCCTCATGCTGAAATCTTTTGAGGAGGCTCCTGGTCCTGAGGTGTAGCCGCTCTGATGTGATGTCATTCGACGCAGTGCATGGTGCTATCGCGGGTCTTCTTCACTATAATCTTCTAGTGTTGGCCATGGTGCTCTCGCTGTGGGACTCAGGTAGGAGGTGAATGAGGCTTGGAACAACAAGGAAATCAGCATATTGAGAGCTGTGAACCAAGCTTCGGGATGACTGAATGTCTGAGGCTTCGAAGAAATAGTTTAGGCTTACGAGAATTTTTCGGGTTGATCTCCGAATATGTTCAATTAATTGCTTTTGTGCGAAGTCTTGAGTTGGTTTGATATCGGCGGTAGCGCCGCGTCTGATGTCAGGAGACTGTCGGACTTCCGCATAAACGTGTGCAGGGTTTTGATTTTGGCATCGTTTTGTCCACTATTCTCCGGGAGATTCGGGTTTACGCAATAGCTCGATTCCGGAGTGGGCCCATTGCGAGAACTGCGGTCCAAGCACCCGCGATGCAAGCACGAGCGAAATTGAGGGCGGTTTTTTTTGTGACGGCTTTCTGATTTCGGCATGTGAGGTCTCGCGATCAGGATTGTGTAGTTAAGCTTTGCCGGTGTGTTGTATTGACATTACAGGAGAGAATGGTTTTCAGGTCTCCAGGATTTCAGGGTTTAGGGCTTCGAGGTTCCAGGTTTTACGGTTCTGGGAGTGCATTAGGGCTTGAGGGTTGTAGGTTTGGGAGTTTGGATTGTCGAGTTGGGGAGGTGAGAATGGAGGACATTGGAATTTAGGAGAGCCGAGTTTTCGGAGTTTTCGGTTTTCGGGCTTGGTCAGTTCAGATTTGAGGTTTAAGCTGCAGGGTTTGGGGATCCAATAACCAAGGAAAGCCGAGTCTTTAGTTTCCGGGCTTGGGCTTACGGCTTTGGGTTGAATATGCTAAAATACATGCAGAATTCGGGGCCTGTGTCTGATAGTGTCCCTAGTTCTGACCACGGTGCTCTCGCCGTAGGGTTTCGGTATGAAGTGAATGAGGCTTAAGAAGAATAACGAAATCAGCATATTCAGATCCGTGCGAAGTTTGGGGTTTGTCTGATTTCGGCAGTAGCGTCGAGTCTACAGTCTAACATCATAGAATTTCGGCCTTCCCAGAATCGTTTTCTGTGGGCTTGGTTTGAGTGGTCTTAATGCAACATCGCGTTGCTCAGCTTCAGTTCTGTTCGCTTTGGCTTCCTGTTGCCCGCGTGCTGCGCGGATTTTTGTATTTGGTTTGCTCGTTTCGAGTCCGTTTCGAGCATTGCGATCCAAGCACTCGCGATTCGAGCCCTAACTAAGTTGAGGGTGGGGTTGTCGGGGTTGTCTCGCTTCCCGGCTTCGGCGATTGCGGGTCGCACGAAATTTGTGGGGTAAGGTTTTGCGGCTTGGTGCATTGAAAGGAAAAGAGAGGACAATCTAGAGAACCATCTTTAGGTCTTCAGGGTTACAGGTATTCGGGTTTCAAGCTTCCGCTTCCAGGGGTTTCCGGCTTAGGGAGCTCTCGAGTTCAAGGGTTTGAGGGTTGCAGTTGAGGATGTAGGCGTTTTACACACACAGATACACAGATACACACGTACACACATACACACAGACTTAGACGTACATGCAGCAATCGCGGCCTGCATTTGATAGCGACCGCTGCTTGCGGCTTGAAGACTGCTAAGTGATCCGATCAGTTACATCATCGTTGCCAACGAAGACACTACCTCCTCATGGTGAAATCTTGGGAGGACACGCCTGAGGTGTAGCCGCTTTGATGTGATGTCATTCGACGCAGTGCATGGTGCTATCGCGGGTTTTGTTCACTATAATCTTCTAGTGTTGGCCATGGTGCTCTCGTTGTGGGACTCAGGTAGGAGGTGGATGAGGCTTGGAACAACAAGGAAATCAGCATGTTGAGAGCAGTGAACCAGGCTTCGGGATGACTGAGCGTCTGAAGCTTCGAAGAAATAGTTTAGGCTTACGAGAACTTCGGGTTGATTTCAGAATATGTTCAATTAATTGCTTTTGTGCGAAGTCTTGAGTTGGTTTATATCGGCGGTAGCGCCGAATCTGATGTCAGGAGACTGTCGGCCTTCCGAATAAACATATGCAGAATTTGATTTTGGCATCGTTTTGCCCACGCTTCTCCCGGAGTTTCGGGTTTACGCAATAGCTCGGTTTCGGAGTGGGCCCATTGCGAGAACTGCGATCCAAGCACCCGCGATGGAAGCACGAGCGAAGTTGAGGGTGGTGTTGCTTTTTGTTGAGGCTTCCTGATTTCGGCATGTGAGGTCTCGCGATCAGGATTGTGTGGTTAAGCTTTTCCGGTGTGGTGTATCGACATTACAGGAGAGAATGGCCTTCAGGTCTCCAGGATTTCAGGGTTTAGGGCTTCGAGGTTCCAGGTTTTACGGTTCTGGGAGTGCATTAGGGCTTGAGGGTTGTAGGTTTGGGAGTTTGGATTGTCGAGTTGGGGAGGTGAGAATGTAGGACATTTGAGTTTAGGAGAGCCGAGTTTTCGGAGGTTTCGGTTTTCGGGCTTGGTCAGTTCAGATTTGAGGTTTAAGCTGCAGGGTTTGGGGTTTTCAATAACCAAGGAAAGCCGAGTCTTTAGTTTCCGGGCTTGGGCTTACGGCTTTAGGTTGAATATGCTAAAATACATGCAGAATTCGGGGCTTGTGTCTGATAGTGTCCCTAGTGCTGACCACGGCGCTCTCGCTGTAGGGTTTCGGTATGAAGTGAATGAGGATTAAGAAGAATAACGAAATCAGCATATTCAGATCCGTGCGAAGTTTGGGGTTTGTCTGATTTCGGCAGTAGCGTCGAGTCTACAGTCTAACATCATAGAATTTCGGCCTTCCCAGAACCGTTTTCTGTGGGCTTGGTTTGAGTGGTCTTAATACAACATCGCGTTGCTCAGCTTCAGTTTTGTTCGCTTTGGCTTCTTGTTGCCCGCGTGCTGCGCGGATTTTTGCATTTAGTTTGCTCGACTCGAGTCCGTTTCGAGCATTGCGATCCAAGCAGTCGCGATTCGAGCACGAACTAAGTTGAGGGTGGGGTTGTCTCGCTTCCCGGCTTCGGCGATTGCGGGTCGCACGAAAATTTGCGCGGTAAGGTTTTGCGGCTTGGTGCATTGAAAGGAAAAGAGAGGACAATCCAGAGAACC